GATCCCTGGCTCTTTCCCTTCTTGGGTTTCATCCCACCTTTGCGTGATTTCCACTGGCGGTACTCTCGGACTCCTCGCTGCACCCTCAGGTCAGGTCGAGGCTGGGTCCCTGGTCCTTTCTGGCCCCCTTCTGCACGGCTGCTCCCCAGCCAGCCCACACCCCACAGTGTCCTGGCTCCCTTCAGGTCTGGGAACCTGGCCCTGGCCTCCAGGAGCAGGCCTGCCTGTCAGGGTGAGCTTTCTAAAGCCCAAATGGGTTAGGCAGTTTCTTTGCCGTATCAGCTTCATTGACTCCCCTTTGCCTTCAGGTTTTTATTTAATTAATTAGTTTTTGTCTTTTTGAGGCAGGGTTTCACCAGGTAGTCCAGGCCTTGTACTCACAGCAGTCCTCCTACCTCAGCCTCCCAAGTGCTGGGTTTACATACCCGGCTTTGTCTTCAGGTTTCAATCATGACTCCTTTTCAGTTCCTTTTTAAAAGAAGAATTGCTGGTCCCATCAGTTGCTGGTCCATTCTTTTGTTTGCTTAGCAGACATTGGCTGGCCGCCTGGCCGCAGGCTATGCCCTCTCTGCCTGTGTGTGTGGGTGAGCAGCTAAAACTCAGTCCCTCTCTTCCCGGTTACTGAGTGCCGAACGCAAGGCCTTCACACTGAACTGCATCTCCGGCCTGTTTAAACTTTATTTATTTTGAGCCAGGTCTCACTGAGTCCCTGAGTTGCCCAGCCTGGTTAAATTTGCAGTTCTCCTGCCTCATCCTCCCGCAGTGCCAGGTTACAGGCTGCTCCGTCCTACCCAGTAGCATCAGTTCTATTCCTCATCCCAGTTCCTGCCTGTGTTTTAGAGGCCTTTCGCTATGCTCAAATTCTCCGGTTGAGGCCCAGGATTGTGGCTTCACTGGCTGAAATCCCGCGTCTGTCCTTCTGTGGTGGCAGAGGGGAGAAACTGGATGGGCTTCTGCCGCCCTGGCCCTGGCCCCGACCCCGGCCCCGGTGCAGGAGAAATGACACCTGTCCCTTCTCTCATTTCCTTAGCCAGATGCTGGCCTGGCCCCCAGCAGCGAGGGCGGCTCATGGGGAAGTGCGGGGCACCTGGTGAGGCTGAGGGCAGTGAGTCACCTGCCTGCGCCCCAGGGCTGACGCCGTCCTGCCTTGCCCCTGCGTTACAGGCACCTGGACAGCACACGAGATGGTTCATGGCTTTTGTTGTTTTGGAATAAAAGTCCTTCTGGAGCTGGGGTTCTCCTAAAACTCTTACCATGCCACTCTGCCTTGCCCCAGCCTGGGTGAGGTGCCCCCAGGGCCTTGGCCAGCCCACCTGCATCCTGCAGTTCTCCACTGGGCATTCACTCAGTAGGGCACAGACTGTGCCTGTCACGTTGGGTGGGGATGGTTCAAGACAGGCTCTTGCTGTGCAGTTCTCGCAGGCCTTGACCTTCCTGTGTAGCCAGGCTGGTCTTGAACTCGCAGCAGTCCTGCTTCAGTATGCCCTGCCCTGGGCTCACAGGCGTGTGCCACCACACCGGGCTTGTGGGCATATTTTTAAACGCAGTGCTTACATACCCAACTATGTTAACGTTTGTTAGTGTGTACTTTTTTTTTTGCAAGGAATGTTTAAACAGAAGAGTTGGTCTCAGTTGCTGAAGAGAATGACCATGGCAGCGGGCCCGTCCATTCCTTCCTTCATTGGTACTGGAAATCAAACTCCTGACCTTATTCTGGCCAGGCGGCGCTGTGCTGCTGAGCTACATCTCTAGCCCCCTTTTTCTTTTGTGGGACTAGTATGTTACGTTAGTTTTTTAACTGAGTCATAGAAACTAAGGACTACCATTGGATGGGCGCCCCTTTGGGGTAGAACTGTAGGGGTGAAGTGGCAGCACTGCCTGCCTCAGCATTTATAATCAAGATGAAATTTATGTACATAAAATTGACCATATCAGCATGAGCAGTTTATTGGCATTAGAGACTGCTTATTTTTGAGCACATGTAGCCTTTTTTTCCCAGCTTTTTTTTTATTAGTGCATGTATGCCACTCGTAATGTTCCCATTCCTCGTGTGGAGCTGGTGCACATACATAACACATCTCAGTTCTTTCTCCTTTCCTTTCCCTTCCTTCCCTTCCCCTCCCTTTATCTCTTGGTCCCCTCCCTTTTAAAAAGACCTGTCTCCCTACTTCCTACTGTTGATCTTCTATTTTGCTTTTCATGTTTTGGATTTGTCACATAAGAAGTGTGGTATCTAAGCGTGTGTGTCTGGGTCATCTCAGTGTTACCCCCCACCCTGTCCTCTTGTGCAGCGTAGCTCTCCATTGCGTGTAGTGATCATGGCACCCGTTCGTTCCTCTGGTGATGGGAACGTGTAGGCATCTTCCAAGATTTAGTTACTTGAATTGTGCTGCCAGTGCCTCTTATTTGCGTTTAAAACACTTTCCTACCCCAAAACAAAACCAAGTACTTGTTACGTTACCCAGTTTCCCCTCCTGCAGCCCTGACAGCCAGCCTGCTCCGTTTGTGTGACTTTACCTCCTCTGCAGGTTCAGGTAGATGGAGCCGTGTGTTTCGCTCTTTGTCTGATTTCCTTCATGCAATGAATGTTTGCAGGCTTCACTGTGTCATTCACTTCTTCTTACAGCCAAATGCTAGTCTACTATTTGCACATACCAGGTTTGTTTTGTTTTGTTGGTGACCCTAGGGGAAACCAGGGCCTCCCTACTGACCTGCAACCCCAACTGTTGTGTTGCGTTTTGTTTTTAGACAGGGTCTTGCTATGTACTTCAGGCCAATTTTGAACTCATCATTTAGCCTAGGCTGGCCTCAACTTCCCTGTGATCTTCCTGCCTCAGCCTCTTAACGTGCTGGGTATCATCATGCCCAGCTGTTTTTGTTGGTTTTTTTGAGGCAGGGTTTCACTAACTCACCAGATTGCCCAGGTAGGGTTTGAACTTGGATCCTCCTGCCTCCAGCCTTTGTTGAGTGCTGGCATTACAAGCATGTTCCACCATACTCAGTCTGTATGCACATTTTACTTACCCATCCATGGTGGGCATTTGAGTTGTTTCTACCTTCTGGCTGCTGTGAGTAGTGGTGGTGTGTACATTTGTGTGCAAGTATTTGAGTACTTATTTTCAGTTCTTTTGTGTATATACCTAGGAATTTAATTACTGAATCAGTGATTTTGTGATTTTATACACACTTGTATATATATAAAATATATACAATGTATATATATGTATATATTTTATACATGTTTATTTATTTTGTACTACTGAAAATTAAAGCCAGGGCCTAGAACTCACTGCAATTCTCCTGCCTCAGCCTCCTGTCTGCTAAGATTACAGATGTGTTCCACCATGCCCAGCAAAAGTTTTAAATTTTTACAAGATCCAGCTTATTGTATGTTGTTGACATATAGGCTTTTGGTGTCATGTGTAAGAGTTTGGTTAGTCCCCAGTTGAGAAGAGTCACCCCTGTGTTTTCTTCTGTTTCTTAGTTTTATCTCTTATATTTAATTTGGCCCTTTGGAGAGGGGGAGACTTTCCCAGAAGGAAGTGAACCCAGGCCTGGTTTGTTCCATTTTGAGTTAATGTTTATGTACAGGGCGGGTGCAGTGGCCCAGCCTGCAGTCCCAAGCACTTGAAAGACAGAGGCAAAAGGATTGCCACTAGGTTGTGAGGTCAAGACCACCCTGTACTGCAGTGAGACCCTGTCTTAAAATAATTTTTTCATGTGTGTATGGTCTAAGGTCAGAGTCCAGCGGGAACTGTGCTTTTAATGGCAAAATTCACAAAGTTGCCAGTTGATTTCACAGAGCGATCACGTGGAGCACCCTTTGAGTGAACATATATCCCAGCCAGAGGCTGTGGATTATGTGGTATTTTAAATTCTTCCACGTGGCACTCATCAGAGGGGGAGGGAGCACACGCCTTGAAATAGCACTTGTAAATCTCAGGCGTCCTGGAGTCACAGATTCCCTTCTCCTAACCCCAAGGTCTGCTCTCCGTCCGAGGATCACAGGTTTCCTAGGTGAGTGTCAGTAGACTGTCATGGCCAGAAGGGCAGGGATTAAGGGCAAAGGCAGAATTCTTGAGGGCTGGGACTTGCCACCATCCACAAGGAGAAAGGAGATGAGCAGAAGATTACCAGGCAGAGGCAGGGGGTCGGGCAGGGCTGGAGAGAAAGCTGGGCAGCTCACTGACAGCGGTGGGCACAGAGCGCTCAGGAGAACTGTGGCCAGAGCAGGGATGCAGCCCAGGGTGGTCACGTTCGGTGATGCTTTAGGGGACAGAGGAGTGCTCCCTTAGTTCTGGAGATACTGTAGAGCTGCCAGACTCTGGCTCCAGCTGGGGACTTCAGCTGGCCTTGTTGAGGTTCCCTGTGTCCCAGAGAGGGTGAGGAAAGCAGCTGCAGGAGCACTCAGTTATTCCACCCTTGACCAGCTACTGGTGGTTGGAAGTAATAAAACTGTATTCCTTTTTGTTTTTCTTTTTTTAAAACTATATTCAGTATCAGTGTTTCATGTCTTTATTTGGTTTTCTGTTCCTGAATGAAATTTCCTGGTTGCAGAATGCCGGTGCCCTTGCAGCTGCTGGACGATCATGTGCTGTCTCCACCTTGGAGGACAGCAGCAGCGCAGGAGTGAGGGCTGTGGTGACGCCACCACGAGGGTCTCTTCTCTCGGCCAGCCTTGGGTGCTTGCAGGGTGGTTGGTCACATTTTTTATAATCTTTTAGTTGTCTTGCAAGGGAAGTGTTGTGAGGGCTTCAGAGAAAGGAGTCGAGGGGAAGACTGGCGGTGGGTGGGGGACACAGATGACCTGGAAGGCGAGGCATGAGTGAGGAGAGTGCACTGCTGTTGCCAGCAGATTCCTTTCCTGTCCTCTGCCGTGAGATGAGACGAAACAGCACTGGCTTGCTGGTGACTTCAGTGTTTGTGGCGTTCAGACTCCGAACATGTACCCTGCATCCTTTTCCATTTTTAATCCTCCCCTCTGCCCTCTGCAACTCTAGGTGCTGCTGGTAAGCAGTAGTCGCCACCCAGACCGATGGATCGTTCCTGGGGGAGGCATGGAGCCCGAGGAGGAGCCTGGCGTGGCGGCTGTCCGCGAGGTCTGTGAGGAGGTAGGTGCTCTGGCTTGTCACCATGCCCTGCACAGGAGGATGGTGCTGAGTGCTCTGTGCGCCTCCCCAGGGAGAGCAGGCCGAGTCGTCTCATGGTGGTGGCTATGTGCCGAGGTGCCTCACTCTTCTTGGTGGCTCCCTGGGGATCTCTTGCAGCATTGCTGTTACCTGTAGAGCAGGTCAGGTGTCAGCTGGCCCTCGGAATAGGAGGGACTGGCTGGGTTGGTGTGTGTGGCTCATTCTAGTGAACCTCAGGATGAGGAAGAGGACAGGCCCTTCTTTTCCTCTGCTTCCTGATTCCTCAGGTCAGAAGTGGCTAAAGCAGTGGTTGTGCTAACCAGAGCTGGTCATGGTACAGCTTGGAAAATAAGAGTATCTTCTTTTTTTATGTGTTTACATGTTGAGGAATGTGTATGAGTGCCCAGGCCTTACAGCTAGCTATTCCAGCTAAACAGAAGCCAAATCGTGGGCACTTTCTAGTTCCTTATTTCAGGAGCCTGGGGGAAGATGACCCATGGATTGCAGTTTAAAAACCAAGGGGAAGGAACTGATGTTTCTCCATAACCCATGCAACACCAGCTCTGCCACGCTCAGCTAGCACGTTCAGAGCTTCTAACTGAGGGGTGTAAGTTTTATCCCCCACGTAGTGGCCCTTGCACCCCTAGGTGGGTAGGATTTTATCTTTTTGTACAGGTAGTACTTTTTAATCCCCTTCTGTTTGATTCTTGGGGCATACAAAATAGCACTTAGGGCAGATCTGAATTCTGAGTTTCTCTTATTGAAGCGCCCTCACACTAACCTTCCTGTGGAACACTGTGGAATTGCTCCTTGTGCTGAGCTCCTGCAGTCTGCCCCTGGCACGTGTCTCTCCCCTCAAGTGTATCTGGTGTCTCTGATTAGACCATGCTATCTGCAGGCAGGGGCCACATTTCCCACGCAGACCCTTTCTGCTGGGGCTTGCACACGCCCGTGGAGGGGAGCCGGTAGCACCTGCAGCTGTGGTAGAGGCACAGTGGCTGGAGCAGTGCTGAAGAAAGGCCCAACTGCAGATTCAGAGTGCAGGAAACGACCTGGGCAGAGAGGACATGGAGGGCCTTTCGAGGTGGTGAGGCTGCCGGAAAGTACCAGCTGAAATCAAGAGGGGCATGAGAAGATCTTTGATCTGCGAACCGTCAAGGTGGCAGGGGCTAGGGCCTCAGTCATGCTCTAATCTCCGTAATGCAAGTTGTTTATATTGTGAGTTTTTTGTTTTGTTTTTTTGGTACCAGGCCTTGAACTTAGGACCTCATGCTTGCCAGACAGGAGCTTTGTTGCTCAGCCGTATCCCTGGCTTTATATTGTGACTTCTGTTAAACAGCTCTGTGTTTAATTCTAGATGTTTCCAGAGTTAGATGCTTACTGTAACACTAGAGAAAGTCTCCCATTAACTGAAACCAGGACCTTGGGCGACCAGTAGGATGCCCTGACCCTAGGCACCAAGCTGGCTCACGACTCCGTAGTGTCCCTGGCAGGTGGGAGTGGTGTGGAGCACGAGAAGACGGCAGTGTCCACCCACCGAAGGGTCTGCGTTAGTCCACTGTCACTGTGACAACACTTGAGCACCCCGTGTTGTCTGTTGCTGCCTCACACAGGGAGAAGCTTACTGTTTGGGTTCTCGGCTTTCAGGGTTTTGCCGCAAGGTTTTGGGACCTACTTGAGGCAGCGCCATGGCTGAGGAGGCTCTCTGTGAAGTTGATAAATGAGAAGATCAGGAAGAGACCAGGTCCCACTGTCCTGAGGGTCCCTCGTGACCTCACACTGGGCCTCACGCCTCAAGCATCTGTCACCTCTCCCTGCACTGAGCTGGGACTAGGCCCCGGAGGACATTGATGACCCCGGCTGTGGCTTGGTTTCCTTCCTAAAGTCTGCTTCCTCCCTGCAGGCTCATCTTGCTGCATGGAGCAGCGTGCTGGTGGGTCAAGTCACCCATGGCTCACACTGGGCCCTGTGCATACACTGTCGCGCCCCAGCCAGTGTGGTCTCCCTGTTGTTTCCAGCACACACAAGTGCTTAGTGTAGGAGATAGAGTCATGGATTGATCAGTAGGGCAGCCCCCAAAATGCAGTTGCGGCAGGTACTTCCAGACTGTCAGGAGCAGGAGTTCAGGACTCCTCAGGTCCCTGCTAAGTGGTAACGTGACAGTGCCAGAGCAGCTGCCCAGCTGGGTTGTTGAAGCTAGAAGCCTGGGTTGCAGTGCTTGGACAGACATCTGTCGCTGTGGGTGGGTGACAGTGGGCATGCAGCAGAGCTCGAGGAACCCATCACTCAGCCATTCTTCATGCAAGACCTGCACTCATCTCTCTCAGCCTCCTCTTCTATGTTTTCCCTGCTTTGAGCACCACTCACCTGGCAGTTGCTGTGTGTGTGTGTTTCATAGTCATTCTCCCATTCGCCCAGTTGGTTTTGCCTAGTTATAGCCCCCTGTAGGATGTCCCTGTGAGCAAAAGGGCTGCCACACCACTGTCTTCTGGTCCTTTTCTAGACAGCTGCCTCCCCTTGCATCAGTGGCTGTTGATCTGTGCTGCTCTGACCAGTGAGGTCATGAGCTATAAAACAGGCAGTGTGTGAGGAACTGCCGGCGCAGCCTCACCCAGAATCCTGGCCGTGGATAGTTGTAACATGTTCCTTAGTGATCAAAGCAGGATGGAACGCCATTTAGGATGTGAAACCATTTAGAGAGGAAGCAGTGTATTGTTGGATGCAATAACTGAGAGGTAGTTTCTGTCAGCTGCTCATGAGGCTGAGGAAGGACGATCCAAACTTGAGGCCCGCCTGGGCAATTTAGGGAGACCCTGTCTCAAGACTCAGAATTTTTTAAAAATGGTGAGGATATAGCTGAATGGTAAAGCACTGGAGTCCTGTGCGCGGTACGGAAGGGAGGGAGGGAGGGAAGGTCCTGAGGGGATCTCAGAGGAACGGAATTGGGGCTGAGCATTTGCATAAACAGCTTGTCACTTGCTGTGTGTCAGGCCGTCCTAAAGCCTTTTGCATGTGGTAGTTGTCCTACGGACCCTCTTGAGACTTGTCTACATTTCACAGGTGAGAAAAACCAGTGTTGGGAGATCAGTGAAATAAATTGTGTTCAGCCTGATGCAGTCAGGACTCGCATTTACTTTTGAATTCAGGGCCTCCAGTTGCAACACTTACATTCCTTTTTTATTTTGTCTTTTTGAGACAGAGTCCCATTATGGGGTTCAGGCTGGCTTTGGGCTCACTTTGTAGCCCAGGCTGGTTTCCAGCTTGCAAACAATCCTCCTGCCTCAGCCTCACAAGTGCTGGGATTACAGGCGTGCACCACTGTACCTGGCTAATACACACATTCCTAATGCTATGCTTCCTGAAAGGGTGTCTACCAAAATGTTTGCAGTGGCTGTCTTTGGTTGAGCTCATAGGTTATCATGCTCTCTGCATTGAGTGCATGTTTATAGTATTACTGGAGAAAAATTTGCTCTGTGAACCTGAATGAAATGAGATTATGGGCAGCAGCAGATCCCAGGGTGATCCCACCCAGCTGCTGTTCGGCTAGGCTTTAGAAATTGAGCTTATGAGCCAGATGTGCTGGTGTGGTGCACGCTTGTGGTCCTAGGCAGGAGGGTCTCGAGTTCAGGACCAGGGTGTTCAATAACTTAGAGAGACCCTGTCTCAAAATTTAAAAAGAAACATGTAAAAGGACTGGAGATGCAGCTCAGTGCAAAAGGCCTTGAATTCAGTCCCCAGTACTTAAAAACATCAAACCAGCCCCAAACCAAAAACTCCAGCATACTGGCTGAACTTCATAACCATAAATCTGTTGCGCTTCAAACAGTAGCAGCAACACGTAAAGAGAGGGCTCAAATATTCCCCTTTGTAAATAGGCCTTTTTAACACTTTAGCTCTTTATAATCAAATTCTGCCGTGATAAATGCTCACAAGGTTGGAGGGACCAGACTTTGTCCTGGGCCCATGCCAGGGTGGCACAGCATGAGAGCCAGTCTCCCTGCAGTAGGGAGGAGAAGCACTTCTCTGTGTGGTCTTTAGAGCTGTTCTTCTGGCTGGTTCAGCAGGACAGATGCAGCCTGTGGCTGACAGGGAGAAAGAGGGAAGCCGGGGCTGACTCTGCCATTCCTCTCACCTGTCACCACCCCTACATGTTCCCACAAAGGTAGAGGGTATCCAAAAACAAACCTTACAGCTGTGTGGAAGCCTGTGTATGCAGCTTCCTGATTAACCTGTGACCATAGGCCAAGCGTGGTGGTGCACACCTGTAATCCCAGCTCTTGAGAGGCTGAGTCAGGAGCACCGCTCTGAGTTCAAAGCCAGCCTGGGTTACAGTATGCTCAAGGCCAGCCTGAACTCAAAAGAGACAAAAACACCTGTGAACAGGAGAAAGGCAGCTGTGGTGTGCATGCCTGTAACCCCAGGAGGCTAGGGAGGGAGCATCGGAGTGGGAACCTCGGCTCGTGGCCTTGTCTCCAAGTAAAACATACAAGGGCTGGAGGCGGAGCTCTGCAGTAGAGCGTTGCCTAGCATGCATGAGCCTGAGTACATTCTCCATTGCAACAAGAATAAAAGCAAAACCCAGCATGCAGTGAGCTCCTAGGAGGGCCCCTTGCCCCGTGCCTGGCGCTGCGCTGCTCCGCAGCCCAGCGGCTCTCCAGCTGCAGCCCTGATGGGTGTATGCGCCAGATGGGACACACCTTCCGGGTTTGGTGTCTCAGACTTCCTGTACCTGACTGCTCACCCTCAGGGCTCTGTCCACTGTCCTGTGTGAGACAAGAATCTCCCGGCCTGCTGGACGGAACGGCTTTCAGTAAAGAAAGTGTCCTGGATGTGGTGTCACTGGCGTCCGTTTCCGCAGGCACTCTGGGTGTTTGCGCTCTCAGATGAGAACATAGCTGATGCCAAAGGGGTACAGAGTCACACACCTGTAATCTGTGCACCATGGAAGGCTGTGGCACGGGGATCAGAATTTTTATTTTGAG